CTAGTTCTGGGAAAATCTTTTTTCTCTGTCCCAGTTACCGAGAGGATTGCAACTAAATTCAAAAGGAACAACAAACCTTCTTGGAAGAATATGCATGCTGTCAGTCTTTGCTATACAAGAAGAACTCTTGTGAACTCTTGCTGCACTGCACCACTATTGGGGATAGTGCAAATTACAGTGCAAATGAGGATCTGCTGACCAGCTATGATTTTTTTGCTTCTTGCTTCTTATAATGAAGCTGGATCCCACCTGGATTATGAAGTCCAATACTGAATCTCCAAGAATATGGCAGAAAGATAGCAGCCACCACAGCCGTTGATATCTGGGCAAGAACAAATTCTGTACAGCACATGGCTGCTTTTATAAAATCCTTGTATCACTTAGTGAAGGCTTGTGGAAATTATATTTATGATTAAAGCGAGTCATGCATGGAGTCTGTGCTATCATTGATTATGTGGGCCTAATAAGATGTTGATCATGTTAACATGACTAGTTTCTTTGGTTTAACACAGTTAACAGTTCCACCAGGAATCAGGAAAAATTGCCTGTTCTTTGGCCCTACTGCCAAATGGCAAAGGTGACATTTTAGATTAAGAAAGACAAGATGAAGATAACATTTGGATGGATGCAGGATTCTCAGCAGTCTTTCTCTGTGTGTGAAATTTTAGCCATTATGAGGCAGGGCACAATATGTATCTGCTTCTTTCTCCTGCTCCCAAGTACTCTGCCTCTTACCCTTTTTGTTTGCTTGCTTACCTCAGGTGAGCAAAGCCTTTGCAAATCAGGAATTGTTCTTGTGGCTTCATGGCATGCAGAAAGGATCACTGCACAGAGGCATGATTTACTCTGCCGCTGATTCTTTGGTGCTTCCCTACTGCTTTCTTTGTGATAAATAATACTACCAATCCACTCTATAGTAGAGTGTGGAGAACCATTACCAAAGTGTCAGCAACCTTGGCAAACATATTTCTGAGGTGCTCTGATAAAGGCTGGGGAAATGGGCAAAGCGTGAGTATATTGTTAATTGTTGAATGTAAACAAGAGGCAGCCGAAGGAATGTGGCTCAGCTCTCCAGCCTAATTGCAAGGCTGACTCATTTCATTCTTTTGCACACATGATTCTTGCCAGCTTTGTCAAGGGAGACATCGCACCCAGTGTGGAATGAACGAGGGACAGCAGTTCCATGGCCACACAACCCAGAGGAGAAAGACAGCAACCATTTAGCTTCTGTCACAGAGTTAGGGAAAAGAGACTGGAGGTTAACAGGGTCTTGCTAGAAGTAGAAAGAACCCAGGAGCCCATCTATCTGGTACAGACTGGCCTTGAAGCAGAGTTTGCTCCCTGGTGGCCTCTGTGAGCAACTGAGTTGTGAGTTCTGCTGCTCACATGAACTGAACACAAATGGAAATATGTATTGTCCTGTTTTATACTCATGCTGCGTGAGAGCAATTGTGAGGGTCTTCAAAAGTCAAGCTTTTGCACCAGTGCTACCAATCAAGCAGAGTTTTATAAGCCTGAATGAAATAAGGCTGTTCCCTTCAGTTGCCAAATTGAAGATTGGACAGCCAAGTAAAAATAAAAAGTAAAAAAAACCAACAACATCACACAGACATTCCAGATAGGCTGCTTTCGTACTATTAATGCTTGTGCACAACATGACATTATGCATACACATGGATGGCATTTTATTGGATAACTGCATTTCTAAAGTGATGTACATATGTACATCTACCTTGAATGCTGAGCAACTGTGACTCCCTTATAATGCATGTGCTTTGTATGCAAACATTGCCAGGTTACATCTCTAGCATCTAGAGGGGGTGCTGGGATCCTTATCTGTAATTCTGGACAGCCATTGCCAGTCAATGAAGGCCGTAAAACTAGATGCATCAATGTCTTGACACAGTTTAAGACAGGCTCCTTTGTTCCTACTAATGCACAATGTTCCTGAATAGATTCCTGACCCAGAAAGAGGCAGAACTTGGAAAAGGTAAAATTTTTGGGAGGGGAGACTTCAGCTCCCAGAACAATCAGCATGTTCAACTATCAGGATCCCTCCCCCCGCACCCCAAGCATGGCTCCTACAAAGATGTTTCTCTCACGTCCTATGACTCTAAACCACATGTACTGTGCTGCTACCTAGAAATGTATTTTTTAATATTATTTATATTATTTATAGGCTATATATGGTGAAATGCACATGTGGGGGCCAAACCACCTGCTAAAGGAAATGGATGCTTTCTGCCGTTGTAAGGTTTTCCTTTTATTCAAGCAGTCACTTTAGGCACCAAGAGACTTGCAAATGAGGCTGAAGTTGTTCATCCAATGACTGGCCACAAAACAAATGCAAGCAAATTCAAAAAATTCAGAGTATGTTCACACTGCTTAGAATCAGGTATCTTTTATGACTTCAGGGAGTTGTGCCTCTAGTGTCATACTAACTATATCATCTAATTTGGACCTTAATTTCCTGGCTGGCCACAGAATACAGCTGAGGCCTCACCTTCATCTATGAGACAATTTGTCATCTTGTGCAGTACCTGCTTCTCAGACAGCACAAGATACATGGAGCCACTACTGCTCTAGCTCAGGGGCCCAAAACCATTCTGAAACTGCTGGTCTTTGACTTTAATAAATTCAATTCAGGTTCTGAAACTTTGAGAAAGATAGATAGATAAGTAAAATTTTATTACGGTCAAAGACCAGCCACTTTGAGAAAGTATATTGGATACCATCGCTATCACAAAATGGCTGCCGTTGGCCATGGGGATTCAGAAAATGGGTGCTATAAGGTCTGGTTAGAGTTATTTAATTTTCAAAGAGTAAATTTTAAAATTGCCAAATTTTCATTAAATTTATATGCTAATTCCCCTTTTAAAAAAACAGTCAAGCATGCAAACAGTGACTGTAGGTCTGTCTGTGCCATAGGCAGTTTGTAGTTTGGGAAGGAAGACAAGATGCAAACCATGTGCTTCCCCTTGCCTGACCCGTAGCTCGATAACTTAATTAAGTACACAACATGAGGAGAAGATAAAGGCACAGTGGAATATCTTTGTGAATGCCATGGCATCCCTATTCACTTCCTTTTAGATGTTTAATGAAGGCAAATATGCTTAGGCCAAGGCAGAAGATATTAGAATCCCACAACATGTACAGATAAATCTGCAAACAGATGAAAAGCATTATTTGCATGAAGAAACAACATGCAAATACTCAGGACAACTTGCACTAAGAAGCCCCATGTTGCAGAACCGCAATTGCCAGCATTCTTGCCAGAATAACCAAAGGTTAAGGATGATGGCAGTTTTAGCTGATAAAATCTGAAGGGCGAGAAATTTTCCCCTCTGATTTAGCACCGTTAAGGCTGTAATCCTAGTTGTGCTTATCTGGGAGAAAGCAGTAGGAGAGATTTCCAACCAAATCATAGGATTGTTTACCTTACCCAACCAAGCAAACAAACAAAACATGGGAGTGATTTCTGGACATACCATCTTCAAATATTTGAAGGGCTGTCACACAGAATATGGAGTGAGCTTGTTTTCTGCAGTTCCAGAGGGTAGGACCTGAAGGAATTGGTTTAAATAAAAGGAGAGGAGATTTTGGCTTAACTTTAGGAATAACTTAATAACAAGAAGAGTTGTTCAACAAGGGAATGGGCTGTCTCAGAGGGCAGTAGATTCACCAGAGTTGGTGGTTTTGAAACAGAGGTGGAATGACCATCTGTCAGGGATGCTTTAGGTAGGGATTGGACTCAATGAGCCTTGTGGTCCCTTCTAGGTATGGTCTTCTATGACATTCTCTTTAGTTCCCCAAGCCATCTAGTTTGTATTCGGCCCTCTTTCCTCAGGCTAGCACCCTTTAGGTGAGCTTGGCAACAACGTCTGTGCTGGTAGGTGCTGAGTACTGGAGTTCATCACATCTGGAAGGCTATGGGCTGGGCAAGACTACATTTAGAGACAGTAAAGTAGGCTTTAAAATAACTTTTCTCAATTGTTTTGTGACATTCATTATCTCTCTCTCAAGGGACAGTAGCTTAACCAGTTTTTGTTGTTGTTTAGTCATTAAGTCGTGTCTGACTCTTCATGACCCCATGGACCAGAGTACGCCAGGCCCTCCTATCTTCCACTGCCTCCTGGAGTTGGGTCAAATTCATGTTGGTAGCTTCGATGACACTGTCCGGCCATCACATCCTCTGTTGTCCCCTTCTCTTCCCTTCACACTTTCCCAACATCAGAGTCTTTTCCAGAGGTTGTTCTTTGTATAAGGTTGTTATTTGTATATATTCCTTATACATAGAACAACCTTAGGAAATGGGTTGTTAATTGGAGAGAGGTTTATAATTTTTTTAATCTTTGCCTTTAAGGTTGTCAGACTAGCAGAGTCCAAATACATGCCTACACATGCTCTCCTACAAGCCTAAGCTAGAATATTGCATCTTCTTGTTACACCTGTTTTCTGTTCTTCCCGCAAAGACTGGAGAGCATTTAGCCCTTGTTCTCACGAAGCAGAGCAGGGTGATAGGGAGTTGCCAAAGAAAATTAAGTAAGCAAATATTTGCAACTGGGTATGGCATATTCCAACCTTGCACACACCCAGTGGCTGCACATCTCTGGATTTCCGTGAAAAGCTCAGTTCATATGTAAGAACTAAAATCATAATCCTCTACTTTCTAGCAATGCTGTTGTGTGCATATTGCAGTTGTTTTGATCTGATGATATTTTAGCTTAGTATTCATAGCCTGAGAGTTTTCATGGACCTAGTGTTGACTATGGAGACATTGGCAATGTCAACAGCTAGGGGCAGAGCTTGGAAAAGTTGCTGGCTGGGGGATTTGGGGTGTTGCAGTCCAAAAAAGTGACACTTTTGAGCTCTGGCCAGCAGTACATTTCATCAGGCTGATTGTTTAGATAAGATACATTATCTACAGAAAATGAAACTTACCACAGGCACTGATTACATCAAAAATAGACTATTTGTTTATACAAATGAGCAAGAAGAACTTGGCTTTTTCAGTAGCATTTATTTAGATCACCCTCAGACAGATTGGCCAAGCTAAATCAAAGTAATGATTTTTAAACAATATTGGTTATTGCATTCATTACACACTCCCACTTCATTCCAAAGACTGAAGCTGTTCTTGTGTTCTTTTCAGTTCTTTTCTTTAATGTTTTATTTGCTTCTACTTAAAAGGTCAGCATTCATAGCTGTGATTCTCAGTTTAAAAGGAAAACAATAACCACTGGCATTTGCCAACTCTCTATGTGTGCTATCACCGCCTTCATGTATTTGAGCCACATTATTGTAATGCAGCATAAATGATAAACTAGGTCAGTGGTTCTCAAACTGGGGTCCCCATATGTTCTTGGACTTCAATTCCCAGAAGAGTTTGCCACTCTCTGGGAGTTGCAACCCAAGAACATCTGGGGACCTCAGTTTGAGAACCACTGAACTAGGTGACCAAAGATAGTCTAACATTAGGAAAATGGGATATTCAGGTAATATAATAGTAGTATATTATGCTCACTTGCACTTGCTGACTTTAAATTTGTACAGAGAATGTTGGGAGCCAAATGTAATACTGTGAATGGATCACTTAATAACAGGATAGAATCCTGACATTTCAGTTAGGCTCACAAATATCCTAGAATGCTTCCATCCAGATCCAAGACTCCTAGTGTTAAAAATCAAAAAAAGGATTTCTACAGAAGGAAAAAAAAAGCAGAAGAAATCATGGGAAACCTAGAAGCATTACCAATGGGAGGTCTGGATCTATTGTAATATTATGCAAAGGAAGCAGAGGGATTGTGAAATAGAAGCATCGTCTAGAGGCACTTGTAATTTAAATCAGAGAAGACATTTTGAACATTCTTGGTTTAATTTTCCAGATCAAGCCCCTTTATGTATCACAACTCCTCATCTCTTAGTTGCCATGATGTCTGGGCTGGTGTCTCTTCCTCCATTTTTAGACAGAAGAAGTTGCTTTAAAAATAGCGCGTGCAAAGCTGCAGCTAAGCTCCAGCGCCACTTTCCTAATGTCATTGGAGGCAGATGTTATGTTAGATTTCCCTGATCCAGGTGCCAATTTAAAAAGCTGTTGTTTTTCCGTCCATTGTGATGTCTCCTGCCCTTCGGCGTTTGCTGACTCTCTGAGTCACCACAACACAAACAATCAGGGATCCTACCAAAATTCCAGTTGTAGTTGCTATAATCACAGCCCATCCTCTGTTGTTCCCTGCTTCAGGTCCGAAAGTTTTCAGGTAGCTGTTTTCTGATGTGAATAGAAAGGGGTGCTCCTGCAGCAGAAAGATGTTTGCAATATATTTACAAGAAGACACATTCAGTCTGCATGTCATCGATTCATTTTCTCCAAATAATAAGAAACCCAAACATCCTCCCCCAGTATAGAAGCAGTAAAATACAGGTGGCAGCAAACCATTTTATTTATTTTATTTTATTTTTGGTTGCTAAGATTTGATTTTCCTTCAGGCTTTGGACTTTTTAAAAAAATGACAACTACCAGCTTTCTAGTATGGCTTCAAGTTTGTAAGTCACAGGCCAGCAAGTGGTGGCTGAGGGTAAAAAGTGGTCACATTCATTTCCCTACTACCAGTTCCTTTCCTCTCTCTGTCACCCCCTTGACCCTTCATTTCTGTTCAGTAGGAAGGACAGGTGACTTCTATCACAGGCATATGCAGTGTATAAACAGCTATGAGGGGGTCTCTTTGAAATGCTGTGGTGAATTGCCTCTCCAAGCATGATCCTCCCGTCTCAATGGGTCTCAGGACAGTACAGGGCGGGATTGCTGTCTAGTCTGGAATCATGTCCTCAGCCACAGGCCTGAACTGATTGCTCAGACAGGGCTTTTGAAATCAGGCCAAGGATCGCAGGAAATTAGGCTGAATTTGCTTCTCCCTATTTTAAAGCAACATTTTTCTATGAGGTACTACGGAAACATTCATTTTCCCTCCTAGCAGTCCTGCATGCCATCAACTAACATCTTTCCTTGAAGTCATTAGGTCTCTATTGGATCAGTGCTGCTTTTAACACATTTGTTTTAAATCTCCAACAGGGAATGCACAACTCAATTCAGCTTGGGTGAAATGAAACTTTTTCATTTGGTTTGTTTTTCTAATGAATAGAATAACGAGTTTGGGGGCTAAATCCAGGTTAACAGGGTTTTTTCCCCACTAAACGCACTGACTTTTATCAGCAGATATGGTCCATCGGCCACACTTTGCACATGGCCACATGAGTGGCTCCACACAGTAGAACTGCGGATCTCAGAGAATTGTGCTTCGCATGCTCTTGTCTCTTTGCTGCTTAGTTTTATTAGGGAAACAAGACGATTTTCATGCTGCATAACCTCTGTGAAGGATGGCATTGTTTAATGTGTTTAAAATACATTTGAGACAGAATGATGTATATCAAAAGCAAGAACATCTTCTTTTATTGCAGCACAGTCCAATCTCTTCACTGTTGTCCTAAACTGCTGGAAATATTGCATGCCTTTTGAGACTGGAAAGACTGTCAAACAATGCAATGGCAATACATTATTCTCTCTCTCTGCTTCAGCTTTTGCAGAGAGCCACACCCCCTCTGCTTAAGAGTTCTTTTCCTGTTCTTTTGTTAAGATCACCAGGAGAGGCCTTTCTGTCAGTCCCACCACCTTACAGGTGTGCTTGGTGGGGACACAGGAGAGGGCCTTCTTTGTTGATGCTCCCAGACTCTGGAACTCCCTCCCACAGGAGGTTAAAAGGGCCCCATCTTGGCTGTCCTTCTGCAAGCAGGCAAAGACCTTTCTCTTCAGGCAAATTTTCCATTAGTGGCTGGATGCCTGAGTGGGATTTCCAAATGGACTGTTATGCCTTACTACTTTGAATGTGTTTTTAGTATTGCTTTTTATAAAAATTCTCAGAGTGGTAGTTGTTTGTTTCCTTTTAATATTTGTACACATACTGTTTTTAGCTTTAAGTATTGTATTTTAATGCTGTAAGCTACTTTTGGTTCTTTTTTAGGTGAAAGGTAGGGTAAAATATATGATAAAATATATGATGAACTGTCTCTGACCAAGACCAGACTCCTCAGTTTCTCTATAGGTTCTTTCCCTTCTCTGTTGTGTCATTTTTGTCCTTAAAACCTATTTCTGAAGGATTTTCCTACATTCTGCCCTCTAATCACCAGTCTGCTATTATTTAATATATTAAGAGAACATATGTGGCTACAAACAGGTCCTCATCCTTCTGGAACAGCTCCTGAGGAGGCAGGTGGGAAGATGTTCATAGGGGAAATGATCTTGGTGGGGGAGGGTTAATCCCCAAATTCAGTGTACCCAAGTCAACATTCTCCAACCCACTGCTTTTCCCCCCCTTGCTTTTTTTGTTTGTTTGTTTTTTGAAAAGCAGTAGATCTCTGGCATTTCATTGAGTTAAAACCTCAGGTAAATTTTGCTTTCACTGTGAATAACCACTGTGGAGGAGACAGTTCTCTTTGGGACCACAGTGGGGACAAAGAGTTAAAGCCCTCAGCCCATCTCCACTGTAACATTGGTTCCATATCTGTTCCCTCTATATGCTGTGTTTTGTTTTGTATGCTATGGCTACCTACCTGGCCTACGTGGCAAACTTCATATCTAGGTTAGACCTTGGAAGCCTTTAAAGCCAGATTGGTCAAATTCATGGAAGGAAAGCCATATCAAAGCCTTTTAATTATGTTAGCTTGTATACTATCTCCACAGTCAACACTAGCTACTGAGAAGCCAATGGTAGAGGTACTACAGTGGTGCCTCGCAAGATGAATGCCTCGTGGGATGAAAAACTCGCAAGACGAATGGTTTTGGCAATGGGGTTGATGACTCGCAAGATGAATGTTCTTATGACTGTGCTTCGCAAGACGAATGTTTTCCGTTTTTTGTTCCTGCCTCATGTTTGCTGGTTTTTAAATGTTTTTCTATGATGTTTAAAAAGTTAAAGTTTTTTGATTGAAATTTTTGAAATCATCTGCACAATATGCATGGCTTTAAAGAGCACTTAATAAACCCTTTGTACACCAAATTTGACTTTGTTCTGACTTTTTTTCACAAGACAACATTAACCGCGGAACAAATTAAATTCATCTTGCGAGGCACCACTGTATTGCTTTTAGGTCTTGCCAAAAGGTCATCTAGTTAAGCAAGGTGGGGAACAGGAGGCAGGGTTAGAGGAAGATCAGTGCTTGTAACAGTATTGGTAAATCTTAGCTGGGAGATTCTGGGATCAATAGTAAACAATAACATTTTTTACGAGCTCAAATTTGATAAAGGACAGCTTTTAAAAATAATATCTTATTTACATTATCTTTCTGCAGACTTTTTGTTACTTACTGATGTTGGACACTTGAGTTTCGACCTTTCATATGTGAAGTTATTGTATGACTGTTTAAGTGCAACTGGTTGTAGCTGAAAAGAAGATGGACAAAATGCCTTATCATTATTCAATTGTTAGTCTATGATCTTCACATAACTTTCATAGCAATATCAAGCCACACTTAGAAACTATGAGTCACTGCTCTGGATTACAGCATTCCACAACTGTCCCTACTATATTATTACGGTCCTGTGTGTACTACTATATTTATATAGTTAAGGTTTGGAAAGTATTAGATCTCTTTTACGGATACTGAAGTTTTTTTTTTTTTTAAATGATTTTTCAAAGGCCACAAAAGCAGACAAAGAAAAACCTATAAGAAAGAAATCCTCATTTTAAACTCCAGGACATTAAAAATGATCCATAAGAGTCTTCAATTGCAGTGAGTTGTAGTCCACAAACATCTATGTCAAATACAATGTGTTTTCCTTTAAGGTGCAACAGTGCTTTTTTCTTGTATTTGCTGCATCCAACTAACTAACATGGCAATCAACCTGGAAAAATCCCATTTAAATGGCAAATGGACCAGGGCAACCAAGAAATGGATTCTAAATCAAATCAAGCCTAAACTATATCTGGAGGCAAAAAAAATATATTGAAGCTGAGACTACCCTACTTTGGGCATATCATGAGAAGGCAGGGTTCTGGGGAAAAAGACAAATAATGCTGGGAAAGGTGGAAGGCAGCAGAAAAAGAGGAAGACCAAATATAAGATGGATTGACTTCCTGAAGGAAGCTACAGGCTTTTGTTTAGAAGAGCTGAGCCAGGCTATTGAGGACAGGACATTTTGGAGATTGCTCATCCATAGGGTTGCCATAAATCGGAGGCGATTCCATGGCACATAAGAAAAACAACAAATAACAAATGTATGATATAAGACTAGAATAAGTGTTAGTTTATGTCATGTTCTCTGCCACCAGAAAAGGTGACATGTGTAGAGATGGAAACTAATGGCCCCAAGAGGGTTGAGAGAATACATGGCCTGTGCAACCTGATTCTCATTTAAATGAGACTTATCTGCAAATAAATGTGCACTAGGAGTGTAGGGTGAGTTTTAGCTTCCTAGTACTAGCTAGAAAAACAGGAATGAGCTGGCTGATATCCAGAAGGTGATTCAGCATCATACTTGGTTTGTGTACAAGCCATGAGGTTTAGACAGCCCTTCTCCCAAACACGGGTGCAACAGAAAGGAGGAACGAAATTAACTTTGCCAGCTGGCAACATTACTTGTTTCTCCAGCCCTTTTTAGGAGGCAATTCTTGCTGCCTGATTGGAGCTCCTGATAGAGAGCAATCAGGATGCTGCCAAGAGTATTCTCTGGGAAACATAAGTCACGTGAACTACAGTATAGTCAGCTGCCTGCAATCCACGCTTTTCCCCCCATCCCTTCATCTCTGTCTACCTGGAGACTGTTCCTTAATTGCTTTGCTTCAGAAAGACAGCACAATCCTGCTGTGCCTTTAATAAGGCCTGTGGGCTACGCCTCAGCTGGATATCAGGAAAGCTGTACTCCACAATAGGGTAAAGCTTTGCCCCTCTGTCTTTATCCCAGCCTTTCCCCAAGGGCATGCTGGACTATGAGTTCTGAGTTATGAGAGTTCTAGTTCCAGCTGGAAAAGGCTGCTACACCCACTATGCCTATGGTGCATTGTGAAGGGGCAGCCTTTTAGTTTCCCATTTGGTTCAGAGCAACTTAAAAAGCACTTCCACTCAGATCTGGGTGACAAAGTATTGTTAATCCTGGTTGCTACCATTTGTTTATTTCTGTTAATTTTATCCTTTTCTGTAACTGGGCATGTCTTGATACCATTAAATCACAAGTAGAAAACTTATACCTTGTTTATATTGAAAAATGTGGCGAAATTTCAACTATTGTAAGAAATAGGATACTGTGTTAGATAGGTCTGGTCCAGTTCTACGTTTCTTATATTTATATGAACAACAGACTGTGCTTTCATCCCTTATTTATATATTGCCTTTCTCCCTGAACTGGGATTCAAGGCATGTTATAGTTATGGAACTGAATACATTTTTCTTCACTCTGATCTTACTCTGTTGTTCCCATTCTACAGATGGCAGGCACAAACTGAGGTATACTTCAATTTGAAGCACTAGCTTAAGATGACTTAGTGATTTCTTAGGTGAGCAAGGATTTCCTTCATAGTTTGGTAGTAAAATGCATGGGTAACATGGGAATAAATGCCAGATTCAATGCCTGATATCTCCAAGGAGGACTTGAAAATACTCAGTTATGACACTCTAGAAAGATGCTGCCAGCCAGTGGAGGCAATAATGAGTGAGACTATAGAGCAAGCCCAAGACACTTTGGTACTTGAGGGAATCCAGCATATGGTACACCCCTACTCCCCAAGTAAAAGTGAACAGTACACAAATCCAGTTAGATTAATTCTTCCACAAATGCCGCCCCATGACAGTTAAATTACAGTAATATCAAAGTCAATAACTAACAGTATGCCACCAACTCCTGACTTTTAAAATCTGCCATCTGGGGCAGATAGCTTCAGTCTATCTAACAGTGGTGCCCAGCTCTGTTTGATACTGATCCGTGGCATCTTCTTGATCCAGAGAAACCTGCTTTTGTATCTGTTAGATCACATAAGCTCTTCTCTTTATTCTGAATGTCATTAAATAAGACATGCTGGCATACACTCTGTATTTTTGTCTCCAAGGGCTTGTGCTTGCAACAGGGACAATGTGATATACTGAAAGAACAGAACAGTTTTAGAAATCCAGGAAAGGCCAGAAAAGAGGCTGGCTGGAGCAGCTGAAAATGCACTGATTTGGCACACTCCCTTTGCAGCCTTTCATGGCAGAGTGATGGCAAGAATTCCGCTGGAGACTCTAATGTTACCTGACCCAGAAAAACCTTGGGAGAGATGGAGGAAAATTTTTTAAAAAATCTTCCTCTGCTTTCATAATTTTACCTGACTAGACAAGTAAAGTGTTGTTTGACTCATCGCAGTAAATCTCGATGGATTAAAACAGAAACTTCAATGGATAGATGACATAACCTTTTTGACTCAAGAACAGAACTGAAGGATATTTACAGCTACAAGGTAATTCTAAAGGCAGGGGCTATGATGATGACTTTGTTGTCCTCAGGGTTGATTAGAAAATGCACTACTTCTGATTCTATGACTTTGGTTCTGGCTCCTTGCATCTTTAAAAACTTCATTTCCTTTCTGCTCCTACCTCCTTAAATTATTTAACATTGAATCCTTATGGAAAATGGCTTATTTAATTATTTTTGATGGAGAGCCATAAGGTCTGTTTCCCCAATCTTTTAAGAACTTAGATACACCATCTGTAATCACTACTGTAGATGCAATCCAAAACACATTTATCTGGGAATTAAGTACCACTGAACTGAATGAAACTTACTTCTGAATAGACATGCATAAAAGTGTGCACGTTATTTATTTTTCTTATACTGTAGTAGGCTATCTTTTAAATAAGTATGAAGATTAAAAGATTTGTATAAACAGTCCTGTACCATCAATTAATCAAAGGTGCATAAACCCATTAAAAATACTTCATAGTCACACCATTTCCTAATGACTACACTAAAAAACAAATCCTCATCCACCCTTTTCAAAGTCTTGTTTGAAAAGGAATGACTTCTAAAGACCAGCAGTTCAACATACTGAACCATTGTTTTAAATCTGGGTTTAACAAGTTTCCCTTGGGGTAGGGGCATAATGCAAGGATGTAATTCTGTGCCTCCATTGTTGTAAAAGGCTGGTGGTTATTGAAGCACATTTTATAGGCACCAACAATGTCACCCACAACAGCAGGGGCTCATTTCCTTCTTCATGTACTAACATAATCTTTGCCATCATTTGCCAGCAATGTCAGCAAAGGACAAACAGCGCAATCTCTATGCAAGACAACTGAGGGACATAAATCTCACATTAGAAATGGCAACACACAAAAACCTGTTTCATAACATTTCAGTCTCCCCAGACACTCTTTAAATGACCTGCAAGTGACTGTGGTGGAGAAAATAACTACAAAATGAGACCAGAAAGAGAGATAGCTGAAATAAGATACATATATAAATTCCAGAGTACGTCAAAAGGATTAAATATCAACCAGGGATTCTTAGCTCATTATACATTATTAATAAACTGTTCTCCCTATAATCTTGTATAGACTAAAACCTTCACCAGAACCAGAAACTGACTCTGGGAATTGATCAAATGCTGTTTTATTGTACAGAGTAACAGGACTCTCCAACAATTGACTCTTGGTTGAAGCTCCTGCTATTTCACACCTCATAAAATGTGTGGGAGTAATCCACTGAAACCAGAATGTCTATGAAAACAACATTCGTTCTATTAATTACTTGTATCCGTATTAGCTATCTTGCTAATCCATTTCCTATGCCTATCCTGTATATAACCTGTATTTTTGCTTTCACTCTAATGTGTTTGAAGAAGTGGAAGCAAGTGTGAAAGCTCACACTGAATTATAACAGTCTTTAAAGTGCCACAATGTTTTTTGGTTTCTTATTTTTTTCTGGATATGCTTGCACAGACTAAGACAGCTACCTCTTTGAACATTATATGCAGTATATTAAATGATTAATAACGTGAGCGTAGTGTTGCTACAGAACCAGAGATTGGGAGTTTGATTCTCCACTGTGCCTCCTGAAAGAAAGGCTAGTCTATGTAGCCTCGGGGAAGCTGGCACAGCATCAAAGTGCCCCAGAGAAGCGAATGCTAAATCAATTCTGAGTACTTTACACATAGGGAACCCTGGAAAGTGTTGTTACAAGTCAGAAGCAACAATTATTGTTGTGAGTAAAAAAGACCATACTTCAGACTTGCTTTAAATACTAGGATTAAGTAAAAGGATTATAAAAATCCAAGCATGTGCAGACTGCATTCAGTCATAACTAAGTAACACAGCTAAGTAAACTGCATCTAAGTCTTTCACACAGCAAATTATAGTGAAAGGTCTTCCCCATCAAAAGCTCTGAGTTGAGTTCAGACAAACATTCTCTTACCATATTATTCCAAAGTGCCATGGCCATCTCTGCGTGACCTCTCTCGGAGAAATGAAAGCAATCAGGTGCAAAGAAACTCAGGTCCGGTTTCCCATCCTGTGATTTAATGCAAATTACTCAGCTTCAGAAGATTTTTTTAAAGTCCTTGTTCATAAGACTCTGCATTTCTCATGTATTATTCTTCTTGATTCTTGAGCCAATCAAAGTCAAATCTCATCACCCCAAAGTAGTTAACTTAATTTTTCTGTATGAAGTCAACTCTTGCCATACCCACCAGTTTAGTAAAGCTCTTGGCATAATGGGCAGCCAGAGATCAGCAGGATTGATGATGCATTCTTTTCTCCACTTTAAATGTGATCAGACTGAGAGGACAGCATAACCCTTTCCAAACAGCTGCTTTTATTGTACATAAAAGTAATTACCACTAATATATAAGGAGGACCACATCGCCGCAGGTTCCCTCTGCATATTAATGCCTCAGTTTGGCAATCTATGGAGGACACACTGACTCTGATAGAATTCTTTGACTTGCAAAGAATCTGCTCATTTTAGTCAAATGTGAAAGTCATTTTTCTGCAAAGAGGAAAAGCTTACTAGTACTGTCATTTACAAAGAGTTTTGGGTCAGGAACGGGAAACTTCTGCCTTAGAATCTGAATAATTACTGAACAATATTAAAGTCCGATTGGAGCAAAAAGTCACAAAAATTAATGATGTAAGCAAGTTGCATACATAGGTTCATCCCACCCATGGGGCCAGCCTATTTGCTCTTTTTAATGCACAGTACGCAATGGCAACAGCATTTCTTTTGAAAATGTCAGTGCAGGTGACCCAGTCTGAATGGGGACTCTAGCATGGGGTCTCAAACTTTTCCAGACTGCCCACCTACCATTTGTGTAGAAAAGTCATCCCATTTTCTTACACAGGAACTTCAGCAGTATGCAAATTGCAGGCACTGCCCCCCTCCCCTATCAGAGTGAGGACAGAGGGTTATTGAATAAGGATTGTACTCCTTGTACTCAAGGGACATAAATGCCCAGCCCTGGTCTCTGGAAGGCTGTGGCATTTTAATGGCACATGGATATGAAAGATGTTTTATTTTAGTGAAAAAGCCCAGTCAACCCCTTGAGTGGACCTTCTTTTTTATTTATTTATTTATTTATTTATTTATTTATTTATTTATTTATTTATTTATTTATTTATTATTAGTATTATTAGTATTAGTATTAGTATTAGTATTAGTATTAG